TTTTTTTATTCATTCAGCCAGTCTATATCATTTAAGTGGGGAATTTAATTCATTTATTACTAATAGCTAAGGACTTATTTCTGTCATTTTGTTAATTTTTTTTGTCCTTGTTTCGTATATCCTTTTTTCCTTTCTTCTTATCCTATTTTTTATCATTGCAGTTTGATGGTTTTATGTAGTGGTAATGTTTGACTCTTTTCTCTTTCTTATTTGTGTATCTGTTCTACTAGTGAGTTTTATACTTTTCTGTGTTTTCATGATGGTACATATTATCTTTTCACTTCCAGTCACAGATGTAGGATTCTCTTAAGAGTTTTCTGTTTTTTTAATCACAGGTCACTTCAACTTCAAAATCCTGTGCTCCTCCTGCCTCAGCCTTCCAAGTAGCTGGGGCTATTGGTGCATGCCATTCTGCCAGGCTGATTTTTCTATTTTTTGTAGAAATGGGGTCTCACTCTTGCTCAGGCTGGTAGCTAACTTCTGACCTCAAGTGATTCTCCTGCTTTAGCCTTCCAGAGTATTAGGATTATAGATGTGAGCCATTGTGCCCAGCACTCCCTTAAACATTTCCTTAGGGCTGGTCTAATGATGATAAATTTCCTCAGATTTTGCTTATCTGGGAAAAACTTTATTTCCTCCTTTTTTTTTTTCTCAGATGAATATAAGGGTACATACAATTAGGCCATGTTGTTTGCATTTCTTAGGCAAAGTGTGAGTTGTGGTTGGATCCTTCACCCAGGAGGTGTGCCATATACCCACTACATTGTACCCTTTAGTTTGGAGCTTACTAACAAGCCTCTTCACTCCCTCTGCTCTTCTTGAATTTAATTGCAATTTTCCCCTATTTGGGCCTATAGTTTTTTATTTACTGGTTTCAAATTGATATTGAGTCCATGGGATACCTGCTTTTCTCTTCTTGAGATACTTTACTAAAGAGAAGGTTCTTCATCTTCATTCAGGTAAATACAAAAGATGTAAAATTCTCCATCTTTTTTATAGCTGAATAGTATTTCATGGAATACATATACCACAATTTACTAATCCATTCACACAATGGATGTTGTGTGATTGGGGAGGACACTGGGGTTATTTCCATATCATTGTAGTTGTGAATTAAGCTGCTATAAATATTTGAGTACAGATGTCGTTATGATAAAATGATTTTTTTTTCTCCTGGGTAGATATCTAGTAATAGAATTACAGGATCAAATGGAAGGTCTACTTTTAGCTCTTTGAGATCGCCTTCATTTTTGAAGGAATAGTTTTGCTGAGTATGGTACCTGTGGCTGGCAGGGCTTTTTCCTTTTAGCACTTTGAATATTTCCCATTCTTTCCCGTCTTGTAAGGTTTCTGCTCAGAAATCTGTTGTTAGTCTAATGGAGATTCCCTTTTATGTGATTTGACACTTTCTTCTCGCTATTTTTAGAATTCTGTCTTTGGCTTTTTTGTTTGTTTGAGACAGGGTCTCACTCTGTTGCCCTGGTTAATAGAGTGTACTGGCATCATCATAGCTCACTACAGCCTCCAATTCCTGGACTCAAGCAATCCTTCCCCAGCCTCCCAAGTAGCTGGAACTACAGGCATGTACCGCCATGCCCAGTTATTAATTTTTTTGTACAGATGAATTCTCTCTATTGCCTGTGCTGGTCTCCAACTCCTGACCTCATGCAGTCCTCCACCTCATCTCCCAAAGTGCTAGGATTATAGGCATGACCCATTATGCCCTATCTTTGACTTTTTTTTTTTTTTTGGAGGCAGAGTCTTGTTCTGTCTCCTGAGTAAAGTGCAGTGACATCACTGTAGCTCACTATAACCTCAAACTCTTGGGTTAAAGCTATCCTCCTGCCTCAGCTCCCAAGTAGCAGGACTATAGGTGCCTGCCACAATGCCCTACATTTTTCTATTTTTAGCAGAGATGGGTCTTGCTCTTAACTCATGCTAGTCTTAAATTTGTGAGCTCAAGTGATCCACCTGCCTTGGGCTCTCAGAGTGCTGGCATTATAGGCATGAGCCATTATACCTGGTCTGTCTTTGACTATAATATGTCTTAGAGGAGACCTTTTATTATCTATTTGATGATCTTTGAGCTTCATATATCTGTATGTTTATATTTCTTGCAAGATTGGGAAATTTCTGACTGGTGCAGTTGTTCACATCTGTCATCCTAGTACTCTAGGAGGCATAGGCAGGTGGATTGCTTAAACACAGGAGTTTGAGACCAACCTGAGCAAAAGCAAAACCCTATCTCAACTGAAAATAGAAAAATTAGCCAGGCGTGGTGACACACCTATAGTCCAAGCTACTTGGAAGGTTGAAGCAAAAGGATTACTTGAGCTATGAGGCCACAACACTCTAGCCTGGGGCAAAAGAGTGAGACTCTGTCTCAAGAAATAAAAATTACAAAAAGAAAAAAAAGATTGGTAAATTTCTAACTGTTATTTTGTTGATGGTTTTTTTGTGCCTTTGCCCATCTGTTCTCCTTTAAAAAATCATTTTATCATAAGGATATCTGTACTGCCAAAATTGAATATTTGTTTGCTTTATGGTATCACATATATTGTGTAGGCTTTCTTAACTCTTTTTTCTTCCTTCCTCCCTTTTTTTTTTTACTGGATTATTTCAAAAGACCTGTCCTCAAGTGCAAAAAATTTTTCTTCTGTTTAATCTATTGTTGAAACACAATAATCCTCTAGTGATAGATCCCAACAAGATTGTGTGTTTTTAATTCATTGAATTCTTCAGTTCCAAGATTTCTGTTTAATTCTTTTTTTATGTAAACTATCTCTGTTGAACTCATTCCAGTCATGCATTATTTTTCTGATATTTTTGTGTATTATTTATATGTATTCTCTTGTATCTCACTAAGTTTCTTTAATGTAAGTTTTTGAATTCCTTTTTAGGCATTTATTGATTTCCTTTTTGTTGGGATCTATTACTAGAGGATTATTGTGTTTCTGTATAGGTATCATGTTTCCTTGTTTTTTCATGTTTCTTGTCTCCTTATGTGGCTGTCTGTGCATCTGGTATAACAGTTGCTTCTTCTAATTTTATGAATTGGTTTTCATAGGAAAAGCCTTTTTCCTAAGCTCTATCTACAGTATTGGTAGGATAGGGTGCTTTGGTGTAGTAGTGAGTTAGTATAGTAGTGTGTTGTTCATATGAACATTATTTCTTTCGCTATAATCAGCATCAGTGATATCTTGTGATTTCCTTAATGGGTTGGACTATGGTTGTTAGTGAAGGCTATGGTGAGGGTTTTTTGCAAATGGGAATACATGTGGGCTGGTCCTTGGGCACAAGTGGTGGTGGCAATAGTTGGGGTGTGTTGGCTCTTGGGCTCCACAGGTGACACGTGGATGCTGGTAGTGGCAGATAAGGGTGGGCTAGTCCTTCGGCCTCCGGTTGGCTTGCTTAGTTGTTAGTGGTAGGCTGGGTGGACCAGTTTCCCGGTCCCCAGGTGGCATATGTAGGTAGGTGCCAGACATGGTGCTGGCTGTGGGCTAGGCATGCCCGTCCACAGGTCCCTGGGAGGTACACATGGTCACCAGTCAGTGGCAGGGTGGGCCAATCCCTAGACCCCTAGACAGTGTGCATGAGAAGCCAGCAGGTAAGACCTATCTTCAGGTTCCAAAAGATGTACCCTGGTGGTGGCAGGTGGGGCAGAACAATTTTAGGCCCCAGGATGATGCATATGGATGCCAATAGTGATGGCATTGGGTGGCATAGGCCTGTCCTCAGGCCCTCAGATGTTATGCTTGGGTGCTGGCAGTGATGGGCAAGTCAGGTTGATCCCCAAGGTCCGAGACAGTGCATTGGTACACCAGAGGTGATGACAGTTAGTTGGGTAGCCCGTCCTTAGGCACTTATGGCATTGGCATTCATGGGGACAGTGGTGGTAGGTAGGAAGGGTGAAACCCAAAGCCCTTTAAACATCCCACTTGGGTGCTGGCAACAGTGTTGGTGATGGGTGCAGTGGGCCTCTTGAGTATATATATTTTTTTAAGACCGTCTCAAGCTGTTGCCCTAGGTAGAGCACCATGGCATCACAGCTCACAGCAACCTCAAACTCTTGGGCTTTAGCAATTCTCTTGCCTCAGCCTTCCATGTAGCTGGGACTATAGGTGCCTGCCCAATGCCTGGCTATTTTTTTTGTTGCAGTTGTCATTGTTGTTTTAAGCTGTCCTGGGCCAGTTCAAACCCACAAGTTCCAGTGTATGTGGCCGGCTCCCTACCTACTGAGCTATGGGCACTACCCTCTTGAGTGTATTTTTAACTCACCCATTAATTTAGTTTATGTCTTCTAAGTAAGTCTTAGTCATATATCTTTATTTTATTATTTTTCAATTTATAAAAGTAATGTCAGTTGACTGCTAAAAAAAATTGGGAAATGCACAGCAGCAGAGATTAGGAAAATCAAAGTTGCCCATAGAGTCCCCTGCTAGTTATGTACATATAGCCAATTAACACTAGATAATGCATATTAATAATCACTTCAAAAAATCAGAAGCATATATTTACTATTTTGCAACGTAGTTTTGAAAATTAGTATATTGAGCTTTCTCATATTATTATTTTTCTGTAATATAGTTTTTCATTATTTGCATAGTATTTTCATGTATATTCCAGTATTTACTTAATTCTTTATGTGACCACTTCAGTTGTTTCCAGCTATTCCCTATTCAAAAATAACTTGATTTTCCTTTCTGATTATTTCTATGGGATAAATTCTTGGAACTAGAATTTCTGGGTCAAAAAGTATGATCATTTTAAGGCTTTCAATAGACAGCACCAAATTGCGCTCCAGAAACATTGTGTCAGTTTGTACACCCACTAGGAGAGTATGAAGACACCCAGATTTTCATAGTAAATTAGAAAGGTTACTGTATTTCTATTCAAAACATAGGCTGACTATTACTTAAGGTGACTTAAATCTCAGCCAGTGTGTTTTTTAAATGCAAATGTTGAGTGACTATGTTCTTTTGGCTTCTCTTTTCTCATAGACTCCCCCTCCCAAGCCACCTCGTCGCAGGGGAGGTTGGGCAGATGAGACCATGAAGTCTTCAAAGTGAGTACCAGCAGCTCCCAGGAGTGGTGGTGAGGGTGGGCAGGATGTAATGGGGACTTTTCTTTTGCTTTATTTTTTATAACAGATTTATTGAAATATAATTTCATCGAAGTGTAAGGTCTATCTTTAGATTCATTTTTTAGACATCCAGTTGTTCCAAAACCATTTGTTCAAAAAAAAGACTATCTTTGGGGCTGTGCCTGTGGCTCAAAGGAGTAGGGTGCCGGCCCCATATACTGGAGGTAGCAGGTTCAAACCCAGCCCTGGCCAAAAACTGCAAAAAACAAAAAACAAAAAACAAAAAAACTATCTTTGCTTAATTGTATTTCCTTTGTTACTTTGTCAAGATTACTTGACAATATTTCTGTGGAGCAATTTTTCTGTCTTTAATAATTTTTGTCTTTTTACTCAGTGTATTATGTTTTTGCAGAAACAAAAAATAGTGATTATTTAAATTGTACAGTCACAATCTGAGTCTACTTTCAAATAACAGGATACCATTTCACAGCCTGTGCAAACACCTTATAATGATAAAACAGTTCAAATACTCTTCTCCTGTCTGTGTATCACATACCATGTAATTTACCCATTTAAAGTGTACAATTTAGGCTCGGCGCCACCCACATACACATGAGCTGGTGGGTTCGAATCTAGCCTGGACCCACCAAACAACAATGATGGCTGCAACCAAAAAATAGCCAGGCGTTGTGGTGGGTGCCTGTAGTCCCAGCTACTTGGGAGACGGAAGCAGGAGAATTGCTTGAGCCCAGGAGTTGGAGGTTGCTGTAAGCTGTGATGCCACAGCACTCTACCCAGGGTGACAGCTTGAGGCTCTGTCTCAAAAAAATAAAATAAAATAAAGTGTACAATTTAATCTTTTTTTATATATTCACAGAGTTGTGAAACCATTATTACAATTAATTTGGGGACATTTTTATTACCCCTCCCAAAGAAACCCTGTACCTGTTATCAGTCAATTCCCATGTCCCCTCACCCTCCCCAGGATTAGGCAACAACCAGTCAACTTTGTGTCTCTGCAATTTGCCTGTTCTGGACATTTCCCCTAAATGGAATCGTATACGGTAAAACCTCCATAGTTGGCTCGGTGCCTATAGCTCAACCGGCTAAGGCGCCAGCCACGTACACCTAAGGTGGCAGGTTCGAATCCCCAGCCCGGACCCGCCAAACAAC